ATTTACTAATTGCTTCGAGTATTTTCTCATTATTTCAATAATTTTCTCGTTACTTCGAGTATGTTCTCGTTGCTTCAAAATTCTTTCAAAAACTTGACATTTCAAATATTTCTCGTTACTTCAAGTTTCTGTCATAAACATGAAATTTTGAGTATTTACTCGTTGCTTCAATTCTTTTTCAAAAGCTTGAAATTACGAGTATTTACAATTATTATTTAATATTATTCAAGTAAGCAACACCTTTTAAATAATAAAGAAACGTATAGCCTATATTCATGTATGATATGATATCGAACAAGGCTAAATGTACATAATGAAATTAGTTTCATGAAACAATATCTGAACGATGCGCAAAATATATCCTGAAAGTGTAATCGGCAGGGTAGGGTGATTGTGTTTACTCTTATTCAACCGACCTTCACCTCCAAAAAAATGCCATATATGTTCAACAATGTTGACGCATCTGTAACAAACGCATCTGTAATTGAAAACCAGTCTTTGAAAATGGAAGCAAAACTCGCGCATCAGCTACAAAAGCGCTCGATCGAGAACGGCCGCCGAGCGTACAAAACGGCAGTCATATAGCATCCCGAAACGGCATACAAATCGTCAAAGACGGAGACGAACAGGCTTTGGTAAATAATGTTTTTCGTCACTATGAGTCTAATCTTGAAAATTTGATATCGGGATGTAGAGCATCTACCCCCTATTGTAGTAAGCTTCAAACCTATGTTCATACTCCTCAGTGTCAGGCTTGCGATTCTGCACAATGTGGTCCCTAGTTCTACCGAAGAGGGTTTGTACTTTGTTGTCGACATGTCGTGCTAATGTTTCTCTTCAGTTTTGTAAAGAAAGTATATAAAATTTTCAAGATTAGACTCATAGTGACGAAAAACATTATTTACCAAAGTCTGTTCGTCTCCCAGCGCCGTCATCGTTGACGATATGTGTGCCGTTTCGGGATGCTATGGCTGCCGTTTTGGGATGCTATGACTGCCGTTTTGTACGCTCGGCGAGCGCTTAAATTGCGCTTTGCAGCTGATGTACGCGAGTTTTGTTTCCATTCTAAACGATTAGTTTTCGATTACAGATGCGTTTGTTTTGGTTTAAGAGGATATCATTGCAGTTTTTGGAAGTTTATTTTCCTATTTTGGTGATTTTTTTCTGTTTTGGTGTATATGAGTTCAGTTTTGAGGATTTGTTCACCGTTTGTATGGTAGGCCTGAGCTCAATCGGTAGAGAACGGGCACTTCAAATCCGAGTTTCGTGAATTCCAAACCCCACTCTGGAAGAAACATTAGCAAAAGTTTCTTCAGCGAAGGAGCGTGTGAGTGATGGTCTCGTGACATGTGACGTCACTTCAGGTTGTAAGTTATTTACTTACAAATCATGGTGATTGATTCTAAAGGTACTGCATGGAAACTTTGGCAACTTCGTATGAATTTATCAAGTCATTATATATGACTGTATTGTATCTGTTTTTAATTTCCTATTTCTTGCTATGACTGCCACGCATATTCTAAACGTGTTGCGACATTTACATGTATTAAATAGACCAAGGGATGTCTGAACCATGTGTGCTACACAGTGCAAAATCTGAATTTTTCTTTGTTTACATTTCAAACAAGCGCAGTCTTACAAGCACAACGTTCGTTTTTACTCCCAATATGTTTCGTTTGATTTTAACTGGACACTCAGTTTTGGTGCCAAAGACGATTTGACTTTATATTCTAAAATATATGAGGAATTCAGTGATGTATTTTCGCAGCATAGTGTGAAATATACGTGATGTAATACGGTATATAGATTTGGGTCCGAAACATCTTGCTTCCAATATCATAAATGTTTATCTCCAATTTCAGTACTACACTTTTAAAGTGCATCGGTCATCCGTATCAATGATTTTTTTTAAATTAATAAAACATTATGTTTGTGTTACTGTCTTAAACCTCAGTCTTAGTAAACTTTGGCTCAGTATTATTCGTTACACTGCTTATATAGCAGGGTAACGAATAATACTGAGCCTAAGTAACCCGTGAAGGCCCGGGTTACAATATTGGCCTTCAGTAAGCCATGCTTGTCGTAAGAGGCGACTAACGGGATCAGGTGGTCAGGGTCGCTGACTTGGTTGACACATGTCATCGGTTCCCAATTGCGCAGCTCGATGCTCATGCTGTTGATCACTGGATTGTCTGGTCCAGACTCGAGTATTTACAGACCGCCGCCATATAGCTGGACTATTGCTGAGTGCGGCGTAAAACTAAACTCACTCACTCACTGAGCCTAAGATTACTGCTTATATAGCAGTGTAACGAATAATACTGAGCTTAAGTTTACTAAGACTTAAACCTAGAGTTATTTCGGGGAATTAGCTCCGGGATCACAGATTCGTTCTAATTTTCATTCTAAATTTGGTTAATAGAGTAGAGTGTTGTGTAAACAGTCGTTTTTATAACAAGGTATGAACAATGAAATGGTTTCCTTCTCTTTCAACAGTTGATACCTCCCCAAATCATCCTGAGGAATAGATGAAGACGAAGTCTGCCTTAGTATTAGCAAGCTCTTGTGAAATTAATCGACATCGCTATAAATCATCAACGGTTGCATTTGACACTAGGGATTTAAAACACTATTGGTAACTGCTCCATATCAAAAGACCATGAATCACCTCAACACATATATCCCATCCACAACTGTCCCGAAGCACGAAGTTAGTCATGAACAACATTGACAGCCACTGACAGTGGAGTGACGAGTAACCGCTATATGTAGCATAGGGCAAATTCAGCCACATTGAAGTTTTGGGTGGAGAAGCATTTGATTTGAATTTGTGCAATTAACTTTAGGCAAGTGTTAATAAATGGAATAGACTTACACTTTCTCAAAATGGGTAACATACTGTTAATTCTTAATGTTTGCGGAGAAATCTATCCGTTCATCATTCCTTTCATTATTTCTATAACCTGTCACCCCTACAAATAAGATGGAATGTCGAGCTCTTTTCCAAGAAATGGCTTGGCGAGCCAACCTGAAAACGCGACAGGCTTTAAAGATAAATCGTTTGACTAATTTTGGGGGGGTTATATTATTTGTCAATTTAATTTTTTTTTAAAACTCCGTATTTTGAACCTCTGTGTGTGTGTGTGTGTGTGCGCGCGCGAGCGCGCGTGCGTGCGTGCGTGTGTGTCTGTGACCCCTTCTTGAAATGTGGTAAGATAGCGGTTCTTTGAACCATGTGTTTCTACGCGTTACAAGAGACCACGTTTCAAGGCACTTTTGCCGATCTAAATCTAAATTTGAAAGCTCGCGGTTCCAAATTAGGCTAAGAAATATCCCCTCTACAGTGGGACCACATCGAAATTCAAAACACGGTGTGTATCACTTTAGAAATGAGTTGAAACGGTATGTAATTAAGTGGACATGCATCCCTAAAAACATTAGAAAATCACCACAACTTCATTATTGAGAATTGCGGCTATTTCATGGTAGAATGGAGGCGGTGGGGTATCCTAGTAGTTAAAAAGTCCACTCCTCACGCCGAAGACCCGGGTTCGATTCCCCACATGGGTACAATGTGTGAAGCCCATTTCTGGTATCCCTTGTGAAGCCCATTTCTGGCATCTCCTGCCGTGATATTGCTGGAATGTTGCTAAAAAAGCGGCGATAAACTAAACTCACTCCATCACTCATGATAGATTGGATGCTGTCGCTGCTTTGTAATACACCAAGAGATATAGAAATTAATAGTTGTGAGTATCAGTAGTTCTTCAATCACCAGGCAAGGCACGAGACCATGGTCAGATATACCTTTTAACGAATCAAAACGATGTATTGGAACATGTGATCACGGGAAGGTCAGGCTAGGATCGAACCATTTAAAAAGCTTGTTTTAACACGAGTAGAGTGGTGGGTTTTTTCAATCGACACACGCGAATCGCCGACACTCAAGTTTCCCATTATTAGTTGTTGAGAGATATGGACTGATGTAAATGTAAGGCATTTCTGTTCGAAGCAAACGTATTTTTAAAGGCGATGGGGTAGCTATGGGGGTTAAAGAGTTCGCACCTCACACGGAAGGCCTGGGTTCGATTCCCCACAGGGCTACAATGTGTAAAGCCCATTCCTGCGGGATCGTGTGTCAGGCTCGCGGAGTTTACACATGTCATCGTATCCCAGTTACGATGCTCAAGCTGTTGATTAATGAATTGCCTGGTTCCGACTCGATTATTTACAGACCGCCGCCATATAGCTGGAATATTGCCGTGTGCAACCAATCAATCCATTTCTGGGTGTGTCCCCTCGCGGTGATATTGTAAAAAGCGGCATAAATGTTACTCACTCATTGCAAGAAAAGCTACGCATTTTGTTCCGTGCACAGAATGATTTTCCTTCAAATCACAAATCCGTAGGTAGACGGTCATTCATACCCGGCCTTATAAGTCCGATATATTTTGAAGTATTGCCCAAAACAGGTAATTAAAGAAACAGGAAAAGAAACGTCATACAAACAGACATTTATTCTACGAGCTTTTCAACCACACACATCCATCCAACAGCATGAAAACAACACACCACATGATAATCACAAAAGAGGCTGATGGGTAAGGAATAAATAAGGCCAAAGACACCGTTTTTACTGAGAAAAGCAATATTTTAAAAGGTAATGCCAACAATGAACCAACCAAAAGAAATGTGTGACATATCTGACGTATTGATACCTGACAGGTATCGCCTATGAGATGACTGGGAGAGTGGGGTGTGCTGATGGCAGTCAGGTTTTGGGACGGGTTCGAACTATGATGGAATGGGTTCTGCCCGGATGAATTTGGGAATAATTACGGTTTGTATGAAAGTAGTTTTGCTTTAAACTTTGCTTGAATGTGTAGAGGATCATTACAGAGTCGAAACAGAGTAGGAGGTCCATTTCTAATACTTCCATAATACTCAATAATGGAACAAAATACTAGAGAGGTGATACTGGGGTGTTTGGAACACAACACTAGAGAGGTGACACTGGGGTGTTTGGAAGACAACACAAGAGGTGACACTGGGGTGTTTGGAACACAACATTAGAGAGGTGATACTGGGATATTTGGAACACAACACTAGAGGTGACACTGGGGTGTTTGGAAGACAACACAACAGGTGACACTGGTGTCTTTGCAACACAACACTGGAGAGGTGACACAGGTGTCCTTGGAACACTACACTAGAGAGGTGACACTGGGTCTTTGGAACACAACACAAGAGACGTGCCACTAGTGTCTTTGGAACAGAACACTAGAGAGGTGATACTGGGATATTTGGAACACAACACTAGAGCTGACACTTGTGTCTTTGGAACACAACACTAGAAAGGCGACACAGGTGTCTTTAGAACACTACACTAGAGAGGTGATACTGGGATGTTTGGAACACAACACTAGAGAGGTAACTCTGGAATGTTTGGAACACAACACTAAAGATGTGACACTGGTGTCCTTGGAACACAACACTCACTAGAAAGGTTGCACAGGTGTTTTTGGAACAGTACACTACAGAGGTGCCACTAGAGAGGTGATTCTGGTGGTGCTTGGAACACAACACTAGAGGTGACACAGGTTTGAACACTTCACTAGACAGCTGACACAGGTGTCTTTGGAACACAACACTAGAGAGGTGGCACAGGTTCTTTGGATCACAACACTAGAAAGGTGACACAGGTGTCCTTGGAACACTACACTAGAGAGGTGATACTGGGATATTTGGAACACAACACTAGAGCTGACACTTGTGTCTTTGGAACACAACACTAGAAAGGCGACACAGGTGTCTTTAGAACACTACACTAGAGAGGTGATACTGGGATGGTTGGAACACAACACTAGAGAGGTAACACTGGAATGTTTGGAACACAACACTAAAGATGTGACACTGGTGTCCTTGGAACACAACACTAGAAAGGTTGCACAGGTGTTTTTGGAACAGTACACTACAGAGGTGCGACTAGAGAGGTGATTCTGGTGGTGCTTGGAACACAACACTAGAGGTGACACAGGTTTGAACACTTCACTAGACAGCTGACACAGGTGTCTTTGGAACACAACACTAGAGAGGTGGCACAGGTGTCTTTGGATCACAACACTAGAGAGGTGATACTGGTGTCTTTTTAACACAACACTGGAGACGTGCCACTAGTGTCTTTGGAACACAACACAAGAGGTGACACTGGTGTCTTTGGAACACAACACAAGAGGTGACACTGGTGTCTTTGTTACACTACACTAGAGAGGTGCCACTGGGTCTTTGGAACACAACACAAGAGACGTGCCACTAGTGTCTTTAGAAGACAACACTAGAGAGGTGATACTGGGATATTTGGAACACAACACTAGAGCTGACACTTGTGTCTTTGGAACACAACACTAGAAAGGCGACACAGGTGTCTTTGGAACACTACACTAGAGAGGTGATACTGGGATGTTTGGAACACAACACTAGAGTGATAACACTGGAATGTTTGGAACACAACACTAGAGAGGTGTCACTGGTGGTTTTGCAACACAACACTAGAGGTGACACTGGTGTCTTTGGAACACAACACTAGAGAGGTGACACCGACGTCTTTGGAACACAAAACTAGAGTGGTGACACTGATGTCTTTGGAGCACAACACTAGAGAGGTGATACTGGGATATTTGGAACACAACACTAGAGCTGACACTTGTGTCTTTGGAACACAACACTAGAAAGGCGACACAGGTGTCTTTGGAACACTACACTAGAGAGGTGATACTGGGATGTTTGGAACACAACACTAGAGTGATAACACTGGAATGTTTGGAACACAACACTAGAGAGGTGTCACTGGTGGTTTTGCAACACAACACTAGAGCTGACACTTGTGTCTTTGGAACACAACACTAGAAAGGCGACACAGGTGTCTTTAGAACACTACACTAGAGAGGTGATACTGGGATGTTTGGAACACAACACTAGAGAGGTAACTCTGGAATGTTTGGAACACAACACTAAAGATGTGACACTGGTGTCCTTGGAACACAACACTCACTAGAAAGGTTGCACAGGTGTTTTTGGAAAAGTACACTACAGAGGTGCCACTAGAGAGGTGATTCTGGTGGTGCTTGGAACACAACACTAGAGGTGACACAGGTTTGAACACTTCACTAGACAGCTGACACAGGTGTCTTTGGAACACAACACTAGAGAGGTGGCACAGGTTCTTTGGATCACAACACTAGAAAGGTGACACAGGTGTCCTTGGAACACTACACTAGAGAGGTGATACTGGGATATTTGGAACACAACACTAGAGCTGACACTTGTGTCTTTGGAACACAACACTAGAAAGGCGACACAGGTGTCTTTAGAACACTACACTAGAGAGGTGATACTGGGATGGTTGGAACACAACACTAGAGAGGTAACACTGGAATGTTTGGAACACAACACTAAAGATGTGACACTGGTGTCCTTGGAACACAACACTAGAAAGGTTGCACAGGTGTTTTTGGAACAGTACACTACAGAGGTGCGACTAGAGAGGTGATTCTGGTGGTGCTTGGAACACAACACTAGAGGTGACACAGGTTTGAACACTTCACTAGACAGCTGACACAGGTGTCTTTGGAACACAACACTAGAGAGGTGGCACAGGTGTCTTTGGATCACAACACTAGAGAGGTGATACTGGTGTTTTTTTAACACAACACTGGAGACGTGCCACTAGTGTCTTTGGAACACAACACAAGAGGTGACACTGGTGTCTTTGGAACACAACACAAGAGGTGACACTGGTGTCTTTGTTACACTACACTAGAGAGGTGCCACTGGGTCTTTGGAACACAACACAAGAGACGTGCCACTAGTGTCTTTAGAAGACAACACTAGAGAGGTGATACTGGGATATTTGGAACACAACACTAGAGCTGACACTTGTGTCTTTGGAACACAACACTAGAAAGGCGACACAGGTGTCTTTGGAACACTACACTAGAGAGGTGATACTGGGATGTTTGGAACACAACACTAGAGTGATAACACTGGAATGTTTGACACACTAGAGAGGTGTCACTGGTGGTTTTGCAACACAACACTAGAGGTGACACTGGTGTCTTTGGAACACAACACTAGAGAGGTGACACCGGCGTCTTTGGAACACAAAACTAGAGTGGTGACACTGATGTCTTTGGAGCACAACACTAGAGAGGTGATACTGGGATGTTTGGCACACAACACAAGAGGTGATACTGGTGTCTTTGGAACACAACACAAGACCTGACACTGGTGTCTTTGGAACACAACACAAGAGGTGATACTGGTCCCTTTGAAACACAACACTAGAGAGGTGACACTGTTGTATTTGGAACACACCACTGCAGGTGAGACTGGTGTCTTTGAAACACAACACTACAGAGGTGATACTGGTGTCTTTGGAACATAATACTAGAGAGGTAATACTGGGGACACTTCCCTAACACCTCACCCACCAGCTCCTTTACACCTCACCCATCCCTCTCCTGCTCGTCACCCTCACCTCACCGACCTCTCTGAAGCACCCCACCCATCCATGTCTCTAACACTGCAAAAAACCACATCCATAGCACCTCACCCAACCTCTCTAGAACCTGACCCATCACTTCCCTAACACTTCAGCCACCCCTCTCTAGCACCCCACCCACAACATCTTTAACACCTCACCCATCACTTCACTAACATCTCACTCAGCACTTCCTTAACACCTCACCCACCCCTCTCTAGCACCTCACCCACTACTTCCCTAACACCTCATCCACCACTTCCCAAACACCTCATCCACCCCTCTCTAGCCTAGCACCTCACCCATCACTTCCCTAATACCTCACCAACCCCTCTCTAGCACCTCACTCATCAATGTCTCCAACACCGCAACAACCACCTCCATAGCACCTCACCCACCACCTCTATAGCACCTCACCTAACACCCATCCACTCTGACACTGAGTTGATCCTCTGTTTGACAACAAGTGGCCACATACTCCGTACAACTCTGGAACACTCTGCTTTAGTCCGGCCTGAACCAACACACCCGCACACTCCCGTCACAACATGTCCGTGTTCCTGCTGGTCTGCATGTATGTCAACAGTTATATTCAGTCCTGAACATGCGAATTGAGATCTTTGATGTAAATCAAAATCAACGTCATGGAATTATGACATGATAATATCTAAAAATCCTTCACCCATCAGCCTCACATTAATGCAGCTCTTCAAAATTTGATCAGAAGAATTCAATATACTGAGTAAAACGTTTATCGCACGTTACGGTTTCAATCAGGGTCAAGGTCGTTAGTGGAGGACATGCTCGTGGGTCTTTAAAGGATGAGGTAGACTGCCGATGACCAATCAGAACACAGCATTTACAGCATGAAGCCAGACTTCATGCCTCCGAAGATGCCCTTCCTGTTCTTGTCCTGTTTGACTGAAACAACAGGGTGAAGGTAAATCAACTTCATTCTTCCAAGTTCCCAGACATCGATACTCAATGTATTTATGTTTAGGTATTTATGTCGTCTATTGAGTGTTCAGTCCATACATATTTCACATTTTCTACCTGGAACAGTGTCGGCTTTGGACGCTCCAACAGCAGCTGCAGCGTCGTCATCTGTGGCCAGGTCAGCAACAGCTTCAGACGACTCAGCATTTCGCTCTGCTGCACCTTGGCCCCTCTCCATTTCAGCAACTGCAGCTGCTCTCGCCTCCTCCAGTGCTGCGTAGATATGGGCCTTCTCCAATGCTACTGCTTCTAATCTATGGACCTCCAAGGCTGCAGGCGTCCCAACGTTCTTCGTGGAATAAGCAGACACTCTCTCGGCCTCCAGAGCTGCAAATATCAGGGCCTCCTTCCAGGCGGCATACCCCGCGTCTGCTGCACCAGCAGCAGCCTCGGCCTTCTCTACAGCAGCAGCCACAGCTGATCTCTCAGCTTCCATTGCATCAGCAATCAGGAGTTTCTCTTGTGCGACGAACGCTTCGGCGGCTTGGCGATCTGCCTCCCGCTTCAGCATCTCTACTCTCTGATCTGTTGGGGGAACGATTGTAGGTCAGGCGACCACTTACTCAGAATGTTAAAGTCAGATTGAAAGTCTTGTTCTTGTGTATCAAACTAGCAAAAACAGATACGTTTTGAATTTAAACCATAATCCTATATTGCTTATTTCTTAAACGAATCATGCGGCAAATATATGGATTTTACGTATCTCACAGAAACAACAAATAACATTGTTCTGTAGGCTATTCACGTCCACCAATCACCACGAAGAACAACCGATGTTGGTGGCATCGGAAAAGAGTATAGTAGATGACCGACCCGGGTTCGATTGCCCAAATGGGTAACATGTGTGAAGCCCATTTCTCGTGTCCCACGTCGTGATATTGCTGGAATAGTGCTAAAAACGGCGTAAAACCATACTCACTCACTGTAAGAGGCTAAATGGATCAGGTAAATCCCTGAACGCCATTATGGAGCTGTATATTGCTGAATGTGGCGTTGAACAATCAACAAGACAAACATAGATTTATTCCTTACAAAATAAATGCATTCTTTACAAACATCATATATGTTACAAATACCTACCATCGCGGTATTTGAGGTATCTCTGAAATTCATACACGGCTAAAGCCAGGCCGTGTAGAAAGATCATCTTGTTTTCACTGCTGTGGAGAAATAAAACAAAGAGTCTTTTATTATTTACAAAGTAATACACTGTGTCTCTGTCACTGTCCACTCTCTTGTTATTTCAATACACAATCAATCGAAACACAGTTGGGGTCGAAGAACCTTATTTGTTTCAATACGTTTCTACGTTAATTTGCAACTTTGTGTTTATGACAAAGTTTAACCTGCCCATATTTCTCAACTGATACGGGAAAAACAGAGAGCTTCTTATGGTCTTCAGTAAAAGGCGACTAACGGATCGGGTGGTCAGGCTCGCTGACTTGGGTGACACATGTCATCATGTCACAGTTGCATAGATCGATGTTCATGCTGTTGATCACTGGATTGTCTACTCGATTATTTACAGACCGCCGCCATATAGCAGGAATATTGCTAAGTGAGCGTAAAACTAAACACACTCACTCACTCTTGTGGTCTCCAGTCAACTGTAACACGTATGCTGCTTTCTCATAAGTGAGGCATATTGTTTGGGGAAAATCATATAATACATACACTATATAATCAAAGCACTTAGCGCAGAATGATTTCCGTTCATAAATTTAATGTGTTCTGGAAAAATAAATCTGATTTATGGATATCATTTTAACTTTTTAGGACAACAAAAAAACAAATGAATGCTATTTGGATAGCTTACTATTTTTACATAAGTTCCCTGGTTCTAGTGTAACCCTAATCATGTAAGACTGCTTTCTCAAGAACATGCGTAACCAAAAAATTAATAACTTATGCTCACGTTACGGTTTACACACACATATCAAAACCTGTCACCTACCTCGTATCGACTAGTGGAGATAGCAGCTTCTAAACAACAGCGACAACAACAAAACGTCCGACAGAGGCGGGATTGCGCTGACAATGAAGACGTAACTATGCAGGATCGTCTATGACGTCACTTCCCGTTCAAGTGATCTTTCGTCACAGACTCCGGCGCAGTGATGAGTAGACATAACATGGTCGCATGGAACTCTGGGTAGGAGAGTACTTTCGCCATATTGGCACGTAATCATTATAAATACGTCCAGCAGACTGATATTTGATTTGATTTTAATTATCATGACACAGTTTCAATCAATGTTTATACCATGTCAGTGTCGGCCTTATCTGGTTTCATGTAGGGGAGACCGGGGTCAATTGTAACACCTTTTACTTAACTTCTTGTAGTTCGATCCCAGACGACCGCTCACAAAGTTAATCGGTACTAACTAGTACATTGGCTTCTTAGCTTTAAACCTCAGTGTCGTTTCAAGTTCACTATCATGTCTTTATAAAGTTATTACGTATCAAATGCAATGACTACAAGTGTTACAACTGACCCCTAGCACGGGGCAATTGTAACAAGTGGATGGGGCAATTGTAACAAAGAAGGTTCAAATGTAACAATTTGTTTATTTTCGAAATAAAATCAAAATGAAATGTGGAAAGATGTTATCTTGATCAGTTGAAGTGGAAATGGATTAACAATAAACCTTTATCACCACCGACATTTAAAATGTTTTTCTTTTAAAATTCATGTATTGGTATGCCCAAAATATAATACAAAGACTTACACCAAAAAACTTTCACCCGAGGCTAATACTATCAACATAACACTGAAAATGTTCTGCTATGATAAACCTAGTAAGAACTAACATTAAACCTTCATCATAATTTGCTTTATTATCATAACACAAGGGAAAATTACATGGGGGCAATTGTAACACAGTGTTACAATTGCCCCTGATGGCAGTAGCCATATTTCATGCCACGTCACACGTTAACAACCTTGGGCTTCTCAAATATTTCTACTTCCAAATATGTCGTAATATCTAAATTTTACACTTGAAAAGTTAATTTCATACTAAACACCATTTACTGCATTAAGAACGGTTTAATACGTTTTGTGAAACATTTACTTACCTATGTGAAAAACGATTTTTCGTCAACTGTATCTCGCCATAAGCGAGCAGATGAAAAACTCCTGGATGAGTACCGCAGGAAAGTAAAGGGAAATAACTCTACTCACCTACACCCGGTCTCCCCTATATTGTAGATTTTGATATTAATTTCTCAAAATTACGCTTATTCGTAAGAGGCGATAAGCGGCATCGAATGGTCAGACTCGCTGACTTGTTTGACAGGTGTCATTGTATCCCAATTGCGTTGATCGATGCTGTTGATCACTGGATTGTCTAGTCCAGAATCGATTATTTACAGACCGCCGCCATATACCTGTAATATTGTTGAGTCGGAGTTAAACAACCAACCAGCCAACCAACAGCTTTCGAATTTCAAAATTGTGTGGATATGAAATAACGTGTGTGAAATGTCTACGTTTAATAATCGGAAAACATCCTAAACATAAAAGCTCTTAAACATGTGTATGTGTATGTATTTTGATATCTGTTAGCGTTTTGTGCAGATAATAATATACGTACGACAGGTGAAGAAGTATCCAAGAGACAGTAATTCATGGAAAGGGTCAAAAACGGCTTTTAACATTTGCACAAGATTTCCATTGTCATCAAGGGCGGTAGAGTAGCCTAGTGGTTAAAGCGTTCGCTCGTAAAGCCGAAGACCTGGGTTCGATTCCCCACATGGATACAATGTGTGAAGCCCATTTCTGGTGTCCCCGATCGTGATATTGCTGGAATAGTGCTAAAAGCGGCGTAAAACTAAACTCACTCACTCCACTGTCGATATTTCCTTTGTATGAATAATGTATGTCAGAACAAACTAAGCCACATTTATACATCCTTCAAATTTCTCTGGACCGTGAATATTTGCTGAGTTGATTAATCAATGCAGGGTACACTTTGTAAATGGGTACAAGACGCCAGTTATAAGAACTGTAAAAATAACTCCCTAATAACCCATGAAGATCCGGGTCTAAGCATGCGTGTTGTAAGAGGCGACTAACGGGATCGGGTGGTCAGGAAGGCTGACTTGGTTGATGCATATCCCATTTGCGTAGATATATATTCCTGATGTTGATCACTGGATTGTCTGGTCCAGATTCGATTATTTACAGACCGCCGCCATATAGCTAGAATATTGCTGAGTCAGCGTAAAACAACAAGCAAACAAAAACAAACAAAAATAACCTCACTAATAAGGATACTGTCGACACGTCGTGTGTGTGCGCATACATGCGTATATTCCTGTATTTAATTTTAGTAATGAAAGGAACCTTTCACAAATGAAACCGCATATTCTGATTTTAAGGTTAAAAAATAGCTTTCACATATTTCACAATTTTAAATTTACGTGCCTTTTCTCGCAGTTTGCACGCGCCAAGGAAAGTTGCAAAATTGCTGATGAAATTGCAATATTCACTTACTCACTCAGTCGGAGTTTGCTAGCTGCTCTAGTATCACAGCAAATGTATGTTGTATGAATGGTGACCTTAAGACAATAATCAAGAGGCTAAGTACCAAATGACTAAAATATGTCAAATCCCTCAGCTGGAACAACCCGAATTTCGTTAACTCGTTTCCTGTCTACAACTGTCTGCACGCGCGCATAGAATGCTGCGCATACCAGTTTCGGAACCGGTCTCGGCAAGCATCACGTACCAGTCTCCATTGCACATTGGACATTTTCCGTATAAATGCACAAACATTTGAAGGAAAGGTTTAATGGGATTATAGCATAATTATGTTGTTTTCTACATTCAAGCTGTCGTAATTTAGGAACTGTGAGTTTGATATTGTAACCAGAGCAATGTTTTCTTTGAACACTTGGTTATAACGTATCAGTAATGTTTTTAGTAAAATGTAGTGTTGGATGTGTCCCATGTAGTGGTGGATGTGGAAGTGTCGTCCCATGTGGTGGTGGATGTGGTAGTGGTGTCCCATGTGGTGGTGGATGTGGTAGTGGTGTCCCATGTGGTGGTGGATGTGGTAGTGGTGTCAAATGTGGTGGTGGATGTGGTAGTGGTGTCCCATGTGGTGGTGGATGTGGTAGTGGTGTCCCATGTGGTGGTGGATGTGGTAGTGGTGTCCCATGTGGTGGTGGATGTGGTAGTGGTGTCCCTTGTGGTGGTGGATGTGGTAGTGGTGTCCCATGTGGTGGTGGATGTGGTAGTGGTGTCCCATGTGGTGGTGGATGTGGTAGTGGTGTCAAATGTGGTGGTGCATGTGGTAGTGGTGTCCCATGTGGTGGTGGATGTGGTAGTGGTGTCAAATGTGGTGGTGGATGTGGTAGTGGTGTCCCATGTGGTGGTGGATGTGGTAGTGGTGTCAAATGTGGTGGTGGATGTGGTAGTGGTGTCCCATGTGGTGGTGGATGTGGTAGTGGTGTCCCTTGTGGTGGTGGATGTGGTAGTGGTGTCCCATGTAGTGGTGGATGTGGTAGTGGTGTCCCATGTGGTGGTGGATGTGGCGGTGTCCCATGTGGTGGTGGATGTGGTAGTGGTGTCCCATGTGGTGGTGGATGTGGCGGTGTCCCATGTGGTGGTGGATGTGGTAGTGGTGTCAAATGTGGTGGTGGATGTGGCGGTGTCCCTTGTGGTGGTGGATGTGGTAGTGGTGTCAAATGTGGTGGTGGATGTGGTAGTGGTGTCCCATGTAGTGGTGGATGTGGTAGTGGTGTCAAATGTGGTGGTGGATGTGGTAGTGGTGTCCCATGTGGTGGTGGATGTGGTAGTGTCGTCCCATGTGGTGGTGGATGTGGTAGTGGTGTCCCATGTGGTGGTGGATGTGGTAGTGGTGTCCCATGTGGTGGTGGATGTGGTAGTGGTGTCAAATGTGGTGGTGGATGTAGTACGGTGGTGTCCCATGGTGGTGGTGGACGGTAGTAGTGGTGTCCCATGTGGTGGTGGATGTGGTAGTGGTGTCCCATGTGGTGGTGGATGTGGTAGTGGTGTCCCTTGTGGTGGTGGATGTGGTAGTGGTGTCCCATGTATTGGTGGATGACGGTAGTGGTGTCCCATGTGGTGGTGGATGTGGTAGTGGGTGTCGAATGTGGTGGACATGTGGTAGTAAAATGTCCCATGTGGTGGTGGATGTGGTAGTGGTGTCAAATGTGGTGGTAGATGTGGTAGTAGGTGTCCCATGTGGTGGTGGATGTGGTAGTGGTGTCCATCAAATGTGGTGGTGGATGTGGTAGTGGTGTCAAATGTATGGTGGTGGTGGATGTGGTAGTGGTGTCCCATGCTGTAGTGGATGTGGTAGTGGTGTCCCCATATGGTCCCACGGTAGATGTGTGAATAGTGTCCCATGTGGTGGTGGATGTGGTAGTGGTGTCCCCATGGTGGTGTGGATGTGGTAAGTGGTGTCCCATGTGGTGAGGTGGATGTGGTAGTGGTGTCAAATGTGGTGGTGAATATGGCGGTGTCCCCTTGTGGTGGTGGATGTGTAGTGGTGTCAAATGTGGTGGTGGATGTGGTAGTGGTGTCCCATAGTGGTAGTGCATGTGTGATAAGTGGTGTCAAATGTGGTGGTGGATGTAGTGGTAGTGGTGTCCCATCATGGTGGTGGATGTGGTAGTGACGTGTCAAATGTGGTGGTGGATATGGTAGGCGGTGTCCCATGTAGTGGTGGACGGTGGAAGTGGTAAGTGGTGTCCCATAGCAGTGGTGGACGGCAGTGATGTCCCATGTAGTGGTGGATGTGAAGTGTCGTCCCATGTGGTGGTAGATGTGAATAGTAGTAGTGGTGTCCCATGTGGTGGTGAGATGTGGTAGTGGTGTCAAATGTGGTGGTGGATGTGGCTGTGTTCCAATGTAGTGGACGGATGTGGCAGTGTCCCATGTAGTGGTGGATGTAGTAGTGGTGTCCCATGCAGCGGTTGTAGATGTGGTAGTGGTGTCCCATGCCGTAGTAGTAGATGGGGGTAGTGGTGTCCCATGTAGTGAGCAATGGATGTGGTAGTG